TACATTATTAAAATGTAAGGTTTCATCACACACTGCAGCGTGGGGAAAGGACAGTTCAGGTGAGGCCCTTCACACAGTGGTTTAGTAAAAGTGAGTCAGGAGGGGAGGGCTTTGGGGAGTCTATGGAGAAATAGGGAAGGGGTGAACAAGGTGTAAAGGGAAGGGGTTAATAATAATAATAATAATAATAATAATAATAATAATTTTATCTATACCCTGCCCATCTGGCTGGGTTTCCCCAGCCATTCTGAGCGGCTCCCAACAGAATATTAAAAACACAACAAAACATCAAACATTTAAAACTTACCTAAACAGGTCTGCCTTGTTTCATTTTTATTAATTTATTGCATTTATATCCCACCTCCCACCTTGCAAGGAGCTGAGACCACTACGCCATGCTGGTGTGGTCTTGCATGTAACTTGGCCCTGAGCTGCATAGGCGCCAGTGGAGAGGCAGAGTGGTGTAGCGGTTAGCGTGTCAGACTAGGACCTTGGGAGACCCGGGTTTGAATCCCCCCGCTTTGCTGTGTGTAGAGTGAGCCATGGGAAGCTGGCAGAGGGGTTGGCAAGAGGAGAGGGTGTGTGTCCATGAATATGTCAGTCTGGGTAGCTCAGTTGGTGAGAGCGTGGTGCTCATAATGCAAAGGTTTCAGGTTCAATCCCTGTATGGAACAGCTGCGTATTCCTGCATTCCTGGGGGCTGGACTAGATGATCCTCGGGGGTCCCTTCCAACTCTGCAGTTCTATGATTCTGTTGTATTTAAAGCTGCAGCGGCAGCAGACATGCGAAGAGGATGTTCCTGCACGCAGTTGGTACCAGGGGTGGGTGGCTGGGAATCCCTGAATTTCAACAAATTGGATGGAGAAGGAAGGAAATGGTTACTCAAAACGCCCTTACTTCTCATTTGCCGGCAAAAAAATATTGTGAATTACTTTGCTTCTAATGCCCTTCTCCCTTCCCCCAACAAAAACCACATCATTTTATTTATTATTATTGTTTCATTTTATATTTATTAAACTTTTATACTGCCTTCCATCCAAGGACCAAAGGGTGGTTTACAATATTAAAAAACCAAAAACAACTACAGCGGTACCTCTGGTTACGTACTTAATTCGTTCTGGAGGTCCGTTCTTAACCGGAAACTGTTCTTAACCTGAAGCACCACTTTAGCTAATGGGGCCTCCTGCTGCTTCCGCACCACTGGAGCATGATTTCTGTTCTCATCCTGAAGCAAAGTTCTTAACCCGAGGTACTATTTCTGGGTTAGCGGAGTCTGTAACCTGAAGCGTATGTAACCTGAAGCGCATGTAACCTGAAGCATATGTAACCCGAGGTACCATTGTAATGTAGATTTTGGAGAGTTTTGGGTGGGAAGCTCCTGGCCAGATTTCTCAAATCCGGACTGGGGCCGTGGGAGATGTTGGCAGTGCTGCAAATGTTGCTGCACTACAACTCCCATCATCCCTGGCCATGCTGGCTGCTGGGAGTCAGAGTCTGACAACATCTGGAAGGCCACAGGCTCCCCATCATTGAATCAGAGCCACCTTCCCCAACCCGGTGCCCTCTTGGTGTTGTTGATTGGCAACTCCCATCCGTCCTGGCCAGATGTTTTGGCCCAGAGTTCCTGGCGTTGACGGGGGCTGATGGGAGTTGCAAGTCCAAAACATCTGGAGAGCACCAGGTATGGGAAAGCTGCTGTTAGAGGATTGTGTATCGGGTCGAGACAGAGCCTCTTGGAGGGTGTAGATGGCTTTGCAAGCAGCAATGTTCCCATCAGTGTGGTTTCCCCGCCTGAGATGCACTAGCACTTCGCACAGTCAGAACAAAACAGAGCAAGCAAAAAGTTGCACAGGAATGACTTTGCAAAAGAAGGGCTCTGCGTCTCCGCCTGGCTGGATGCTGCCGAGCAAACGGCTGCCACTTTTGGCTCTCCTTCAGTGCGCAGCTATGCTCTGCACACTTCTCTCCCAGAAATGGAAGCTGAGATGTCTGCTTTTGCCAGTATAAGTTGACTGGGTTGGAGCCATCAGCGACTTTTAACCATGAATGCTGAGTGGAACTTCCATATTCCAGCGCAGTCTATCTTGAGATTGCGAGTTCCCCAGAGAGTTGCCTGATGCCCCCTTCATCACCGTTTTTCATAGGGTTACTTATTTAATTGGTGGGTTTAAAAAAAGTAAATTGTGTGCTTTGAGTTATCCCTGTTTTATTCTCGGAGTTTCCGTGGGTCCTGCACTAGGAGAAAGGCTGGATATAAATGAAATAAATTACTCTCCTAATTTATTCCTGTATTGCAGGAGTTTGGACTACATGGCCCTTAGGGTCCCTTCCAACTCTCCAAACCTCCATCCTTTCCTTCAAGCCTGAGAATGATTGTTCTCTTGTGGTTTCCCAGCCCCGGGAGAAGGAAATTGGTTGAAATATGAGCTGCCTCTGTCATCTCCAGAAGAGGCAAACCAGTTTGGGTTATGTAAGCGTTTGCAACGGCTGCCAATGAATTTAGGATACCTGGCCTCAGGTGTTGGAGCCGAACCTGGAACGGAGTTGCCAAACTCGTGACTCATTTCACCGTTGAGCTGCTTCTTTCTACCTGTCGATCCCTCTTCCCCTGCAATGGCAGCCGGTCCGTTAGGGCAAATGGGTCGCTGCCCCACAGACCTCCGACTGCCCTTGCCAACTCTCACTTGCCCTGCCTTCTTTCTCAAAAGCAAGCTGGCGAGTGGCTCTGGGTGTCAGCCGCCTTCATCTCTGTGTCTCAGGAGGAAGAAACTAGGATGAATTGGCTCTGCCTCTCATTGTCTGTGGCTCTGTTTGGGGTCCCTGCCCTACCAGCCCCAATGGGCACCAGCCACCAGGGGAGCATCGGAAGAGGTTGCTGGATCAGGCCAATGACCCATCGAGTCCAGCAGCCTCCTCTCACAGAATCATGAGGACTAGGACCGTGCCTCTCAAAAACAAAAGCGAGCTTCTCTGCAAGCTGAATTCTGTAGCTATCGTCCATTTTTTTTAAAAAAAAGTCCTCATGGAAATTCATCAGCATTTTAGGGTGAATTTCTAATATACACACGTCTGTATGCAGTTTGCCCCATTGTGCTCACTTTTTGCAAATGCATTTTTAAAAATGTTCTTTCATGAATATTTGCATTTTTTAGGCGTGCCTTACCCTGGCCTGTGCATTTTTGCACACATCGCTTGACTGGAGAACTGCAGAATTCTGAGAAGCGTGAATTTCAACGGGCGACTGCATTTCCAGTTCACGTATGGCTTTCAGGAAGTGCGAATTGAGGCGTCGCCGCCTCTGAACACAAACGGAACCACATTTCTCCCCAGGTAAGGCTGGGGATAAGACTCCCCGTTTGCCAACCTTGAGAGCGGCTCCCCGTCAGCGTAGGCAATATTGAGCTAGGTGGACCATTGTTCTGACTCCCCACAAGGCAGAGTTCTTTCATCTGGTTGGTCTCATCACAACACAGAACGTGGGCACTGAGATCTTCCCACTGGGCGAAGGATGCTTTGAGTCGCTTTGCTCTCATGAGCAAGACTTCAAGGTGGGCTATTTTGGTGCCTATGCAAATAATACTCCCCAGTGGGTCCAGTTTCCTCTTTCAGCCACAGACCTCTGGGCAATGACACATTGTCATATGAAGATTTAGCACAGACTGAGAAAGAGCTGTAGGATAGGGAGGGACCCCTGAGGGTCATCTACACCAACCCCCTGCCATGCACCCCCCCCATACCTGTTCATGCAGCCCCAGCAGCTGCATGCAACACATCTGGTGGCACAAGACGTCATTCATGCAGATGTTGTAGGTGCCACTGCCTCGCCCACCCCTGTCCCAGAACATCTGTTTCCTGCTTGCCATGTGAGAATGAAATTCGCAGGTGGCTATCCTTGTGACCAGGAGAACTGATGCGGATGCAGCATGGTGACTGAGGCGCGCGCGCGCGCACACACACACACACACAGTTGAACATGGCTGCTGGTCCAGCACATCAAATGCTTCTGCACAAGCCACACAGAACACACATTGTGGTATTGTCTAATCACATTACTGGGGTACCAGACTTATTTTTACATCTCTCTGTTGTTGGCCACTTGTAATATCAATTCAACACGGCAGCGCAACTGTATTCTCCCCCACCTCCAAGCAATTTGGAAATTTAGAAAACAGTGAGAGGTAATGTGATCCAAGGTTCAGGCATGTTGGCTAAAAGTTGAGACCTCCGTGGCTGAAACGCACCTGACTTTTCTGGTAAGAGATCAGGGGCTCCCACCTGTGGTTCTTGAGCTCAACTCAGGTGGCATGTCTGTGGATTTGTAGTAGGGAAAATACTGAATGTTCACATAGTGATTTTAAATGGACACAGGAGTTTGACGATGAGTTATGCATATGGACATATTGTTTTGATTCACTCCTCATATTAAAGTGTCAAATTATTTATTTTGTAAGAGTTAGGTAGCAGCTGTTTGCACAATTTATAGTTTTAATGCTTCGCAATTCATTGATTTGTGTTTTATCCTGGCTTGTTGACAAGTCTCTCACACTATACCTTGTAGGGTTGTTGTAAGAATGGCAAGGTAATATTTTTCTTACCTGCTCCTGTTATTCAAAGAGGTGTAGTCATTACTTTTTTAAAAAAGAAATCTAATTAAATTGGAGTTGTTTTAATTGCCCCAACATTGGTTATGTGTATATGTTTTGAATATTCAGAAGGCTGCCGTCCTATTTACCTGGGAGCAAGTCCCATCTGACTCAATGGAACTTACTTCTGAGTAGACTCTGTCCCCGCCGGCACTCTACAATAGAAGCAGTAGCATACCACCTTAAACAGTCATAGCTCCCCCCGCAAATAATCCTGGGAACTGTAGTATGTTAAGGGTGCTGAGAGCTGTTAAGAGAGCTACAATTCCCAGTGTTTCCTGGGAAAAGGGACCAACAGTTAAACCACTCAGGAACGACAGGATGCGGCCTAGACAAGAGCAGCGCCAAAAGCCAAGTGTCAGAAACCAAAGGCATTTATTAGAAATATTATGCAGATCCTGCACCCAATGCTTCAGTAACGTTAATCTTCTTTAAATAAAAACATTGGCAGTCGCACATCCTCGACCGTTGAAGTCTCCGAGGGCCTGTACATTCTAGTGTGCTCTTGGTGTATAAATAAGATTGTTTTGCTCTCCGGCGGGAACAGTTCAGACGTGGAGCGCCCAGTCCAGGCCGAGAGAGAGGTCCGTTTTTTGTTTTTTTTTAATAACTGAAACGCTCACAAGGAAAGATGAACAAACAAAATGTATCTGGAAGTTGGCACATGTAAAGGTTAAAAAAAATAAAAATAGAGGGCAGGGCAGGGATCCAGAATCTGTTAGCTCTCCCAAAACAGGTTAATAAGCAGAGGAAAGGACTCTGTTCGTTCATTGCCAGTCGGAGTCGATTAATGGCATATTGGAAAGATCATTAGCACCTGCAGACACCAGCCATTCCACGTAGGAAACCTGCTCAGGAGTCATTTATGTTTTTACAAAATTATGGGGTGGATGGGGGGCTCCAGCATCTCTCCAGATGTCAGGAACCCCCAGGCCTTATCCTGCTCGCTTGTTGCTCCTTCTGGGATCCAGTGACATCTGCAGGCCACAGATGTCCACGCCCAATTCCCTGCATTATATTATGGGGTGCATTTCACTGGAGAAGCATGGAAGATGGGGAAAACGGGCTGGGAGAATCCTTCAAGTGAGGAGAGTCTCCTGCAGGTGTTGCACAGCTGCCAGGGATGATGGGATTTCAGAGTCCAACACCTGGAGGAACACTGGGCCCCCCCCATCCCTGGCCTACAGTCACACGACCCCCAATGCTCCTATGTCAAGGACGGTGCCCCCCTTGGCATCATTTGGGGAAAGGTGGGCGCAGGTTGATACGGCCGCCTAGTGTTGTGTGGAGGAACAAGCTAATAGGGCCGGCCACCTCTGGCTTCACCCGCAGTAGAAGGAGCAGGAAGTGCTTGAATAAAACCCTGCACAGGTGGACCCTAAATTGAGGAGGGTTGACAAGAGAAGCAGGAGGCTTTGTAATCTGGCAGCATTTCAGTGACTGAGAACCCCGGGAAATTAAGCTCAGTGTCACCCTGGATTTCTCCTTCTGCACCTCATTTTGGGATGGGGAGGGAGAAAGAGGTGGAGTTCTAAGGAAAATGGGGACTTTAGGGGGAGGGGACACACACACACAACCTTAAGTCTACCTTCCTAACCTTCAAGAGCAAGGGAAGTGGATTCAGAACCTGCCCCTAAAACATTCCCTTCAAGATGCTAGGCCTCAAGAGACCTGCCCAGGCTTCCTTCGGACACCTCAGCTCGGCATCACTGACAAAACCAATACAGACAAAACTCTCACTCTGACACGGACATTTTAAACACCTCATCTGCTCTCCTTGCAACTGTTAGGGGTGCAAATCCACACCTCGCTTTGCTCTGGAATCTCCTGCTCCCCCCCCCTCTCAGCTTCCCCCTGCTTTTCTGGAGACAAAACCAAACCGGACCTTCAGGATGACCAGACGCGAACCCTCACTCACTTCCTGCCTTTCCTCCATCTCTTGCGCCAACTGAGGTGCACAGCGAAGCCAACAAACCTCCCTTTCCCAACACCCCCCCCCCAGGTAAACTACATTTCTGATGCAATCCAACACCTGGACACTCAATGGCCCAGAAACATTAACCTTGTAGGCATATCACACTCACACACACACACACACACACACACACACTAACTAACAAACTAACTAACAAACAACCAACTGATGTTTACGAGACAGTCTGAGGGACTGGGGGGAAGGGATGAAGCTTCCCTGAAAGGACCACCTCAGACTTTTTTGCCTCTACCTGCCTCACACGTAACGACAGACCTCCTCTTAAAGTAGAGAAAATGGCAAAATGCAGACAGCAGAAATCTCCTTTCGCCTGCAATAACAGGCAGTAATATCAGAGGCTGCAATCCCAGGGACCTCCAGAAGTTGCTGGAATCCTACTCAGCCTTAACTGATGCTGGCTGCAAGGGGCGGGTGGGAGTTCGGGTACCATTATGCCTAGAGGGGTCCGTCCCCCCCGTCTACCTTGTGGGGTTCTTGTTCCATCTACTCATGGCTACAGACCTTGGCGTTGGATGCAACTCACTAAAGGAACCATGCTTTTCCTGGGCCGTAGGAAATTCCCTCCCCGCAGCGCCTGACTCCCCCAAGTTAAAGGTCTGTTTGCCTGATGAAAATGCAAAGGTGGTGTGCAACTTCCTTTGACCCGGTGGCACGTTTCCTCCAGAGAAGATGCCAAATGATTTTGGAATGACTGGATGCTGTCTGGAGTCTGGCAGGTTTCGGCTAGGAACCATGAGGACTAGCACCGGACATCTGAAAGTCTTCAGGCAGAAACCTTACAGCAGGCCTGCCTGAAGTCTTCTTTCCACAGCCGTTGGGATGTCAAAGGGGAGAAGGGGCTTTGGATGGGAAGGAGAGACCCAAACAAAGTGGGGGAAGCTCAGCTCAGGCCAAGACCAAGAGCGGGGAAAGAGATTGACGTTCTCTCACGGACGAGAAGAACTGTGCTGGGAGGCGGCGGCAGAAACGGAGGCCTCCTCCTTTGGCAAAGCGAACAACTTCAGACAATTATTTGGCACCTTCAACTTCGTATCCAGTAACAGAAAACACACGATGATAATTTGGGTGTGCAGGCTGTACTCCAAGCCCTCTGTGACCTTACGGTGGGATGTCTAACACATCTCCTGCAGAGCCACGGGGCACGGAAGAAGCGGCAGATGTGGGCGATGTGGGCATCTGCTCACAAGGCCTCATGGCAAGGAAGCGCTTCCTTCGCAGCATCCTCTAGGGGACCCTGGGGTTCGTGCCCAAAGGCCATGTCACCCACACACGGCACTCCTGTTACAGGCTTCGCCTCCCAAGTCTCAGAAAGGAGCCGGCGAGCCACACCAAAGTGGCAAGGAGGAAATTCTACCAAGCCAAAGGAAGCGTCGCTTGTGTTTGTGACCTGGTGGCCTTCAGGTGCTCCTGACGCCAGCCAAGGAGGTTTCGTGGTGGCCCTTCGGTGACACAGAGGTGTCGTGAAACGGGGCTGGCGAAGGTCGGTGCGTATGGCGCTGCCAACCCTGGCTTTCACCCACACAGGTCATTGACTCAGCGCTTCAAGCTCACACTTAAAGGGCACCCGAGTCCTTGCAGAGAAGCCCTCAGTCGCTGCAAGAATTTTCAGGCTTTTGATGCTGCATAAATCCACTGTGCTGAGGCTCGCCTTGTGAGCTAAGGACACAAGTCACTTTCAACATGACGTTAACTTGCAGATTTTCAGAGACTTCGCCTCCCCTCACAGGCTTGCCAACTCTTCCCTCTTCTCCCCTGGAAGGGCTCCTGCGCTCTTAGCAGAAGCGCAGTAGGTAAAGCTTTTACATTGTGTCCGCTTGGATGGGACAGACTGGAGCTGTGGGGAGTTTCCTGCTGGCACGGCTGTGAAAAGGGCAGGTGGGACGTGGCAGGAAATTAATATTTTTTTGGCAACTCCAGATTTTCAAAAGCTGTTGGCCCCACCAAAGGCCATCACCCCCCAAGAAAAAAAAATCTATCAGCATGTGCAGACCTAACCCTCTCACCCCCCCACAAAAAACCACATTTTCCCCACAACCTTTTCTCTCCACTACTCAAGCTAGCAACTGGTGCCTTTAACCTGGGAATCAGGCTTCCCAACATGTCTTGGTTCTGCATTTGGATCCCTGCCTCCAGTTTGATGAGGACGGTTCTGTGGCCCTGCAGACGCCACTGGTCAGAGATGGTGGGAGTTTTAGTCCAGCAAGTTCCTGTAGGCCGCAGATGTTCCCCGTGGATTAGACAAATAAGATGTCTGCAGCAACACAAGGAGGTTTGCGCAACAGAACACAACTCTTGCATCTCCTGCACCAACTTGGAGGCACTGGGGGGGCGGGGAGAATTTTAGAAGGCACCGCTTCTCCCACTATTACGGAAAAGACACCTGCTGAAATCCCCGTGCAACGAGTTAAAGAGACACGCAGTCTTTGTTCTGCAACAAAACCCCAGCGGACTAAATCGGGCATCAAAGTGATCCCATCACAACACAGATCCTGGGTGGGCGGGAGATCTGGGCCTGATAATGGCTTCCTCTAGCCTTGTGGAGCAACGATCAGAAGGGCTCCCCCTCCTCTCCTTGCATCCACACTCAAGACAGTGTGGGGCCTGGATGGACAGAAGCCTATTCAGATCCCGACAGTCCCTAAATTGGTCCTGGGATGGGGGGAAATTTGCAAAAGCCAAGATCAGCCTGGCTCTCTCTACCACCCTACCAGCTGCGTGAGACTGGGCCAAGGCAGCTGTCATTAGGGGAGGGGGGGGCTTGTAAGGGGATTTTAAGTTTGGTATTTTGTTTTTTCCAAAGATGCTGTCATGTTTCAAGGGGTCCTGGCTGTTCCACACAGCGCAGCCTGTTTCAGGAAGCCAGCCCACCCTGCTCTTTTCTTGAGCCTCCGGGGAGAAAAGCAAGGAAGCCTTTCTAGGAGAACCGTGAAGAGGGGAAGCCACAACCAGATTCTGTGAAATTAAAGAGAGGGGAAGCAGCAACTTCTGATGCCCTCAGGGACCTCCAGAGGCTGTGCACAAGGCCACCGATTTGTCCGGCGATGAGGGGAGTTGTTCTCTGCCCCACAGCGCAGGGCACCCTGGGTGGAAAGGAGTCTTATTTGGCACGGTCAAGTATGGGGGAGATGTTATTTCCTGCGTCCCCCCCCCAGAGAGTCCCAGGCCAAGCAGAGCCCCTCCACTCTGCTTCAGGCTGCATGGCGTGGGCTGGATCGGGGCCAGTCCTTTCTGGGGCCACGAGAAACGTCTGCCGGGGCCTCTGTCAGGCAGGAACGAAGGGGGAGGGTCCCTTTAGTGTTTTCCTTTTAAAGTGATCTAGTGCGTTGCATGGTGTTCTTCAGACGCCTTCCTCTTCCTCCTCCTCCTCCTTCCTCCTCCCGGCTCCGGAACTCAGGTCTCGAAATATTTGTAGATTTGGGCGACGTACTGCATAACACTCTGCCAGTCGGGGCGGTCCGTGTACATGATTTCGCTGAGCTCCTGTAGCGGGAAGAGATGGCAGCGTCATTGGGAGGGAGGAAAACAAGGAAACGTAAAGCACTTTAGCTGCAGCAGGGGAACCAGAGGGTCATTCCGAACCCCCAGGGATAGTTAAAAGGCACAATGCAGGTGGAATCTCCTCCTCCCTATCCCAGCCTCCCAAAATATACTGGATCATTTCACAGGAAGTTTGTACATGTGTGAGTACATACATATTCATAGAATCAAAGAATTGTAGGGATGGAAGGGACCCTGAGAGTCATCTAGTCCACCCCCTGCAATGCAGGAATCCATGACAGATGGCCATCCGAACTCTGCTTTGAAACATCCAACAAAGGAGAGCCCACCACCTCCTGGGGGAGTCCATTCCACTGTCAATCAACTCTTCCCATAAGAAATGCTGTCCAGCTCCGAGGCCTTCTCGGTGGTGGCGCCTGCCCTGTGGAACTCCCTCCCACCAGATGTCAAGGAAATAAACAACTATCTGACGTTTAAAAGACATCTGAAGGCAAACCTGTTTAGGGAAGCTTTTTAATGTTTAATAGACTATTGTGTTTTAATATTTTGTTGGAAGCCGCCCAGAGTGGCTGGGGAATCCCAGCCATAATAATAAATGATGATGATGATATTTATCTGGAATCTCCTTTGTTGGTGGGAGCAGTAGAAAACAAGCTTTCTCCATCTTCCATGGATACTTGAAGGTGTCTCTCATACCTCCCTCCGTCTCCTCTCCTCCAGGCCAAGCCTGCCCAACATCTTCAGCGGCTCCTCATAACATTCTTCCTGTCTGCTGAAGCTTCTCAGTTCTTCCCTTGAAGCTCCAGAGAGAGAAAACTGGGCAGAGGGGGGAGCGGATCTCTGATCCCACGCACACACTGGACCCAACACGTCTGAGCCCCGGGGAACGTGACGGCTTTCGCTTCCCCTCTCGCGGCAGCGAATGGAGTAGGGGGGCAGCCAGCCCCCCCTTCCCGTGCCGGAAGGGCTCCCTATCTGCTTGGCAAGGCTTTCAAGGAGGGAGCGGTAGCCAAGAGTAATTAAATGCCGGCCGTAAGCCTTTTAAAGAAATGAATTTGAAACACCCAAGCTCACATAAAACGTGGGGGAACGGGACGGCGAATTGGCGGTTGTGTGCCAGGAAGACTTGGTGATGGGGACAGAGAGCCGTGAGCACTTCAGGTTCCCATGATTTGGGGAAGGTATTCAGGAGATGGAGGCAGGGAGAGTTCAACAGGGGGAGTTTGGCGGAGGGGCCCTCTGGGGTGGGGAGGGGAGGCTGGTTTTCAGCTGACAAGGCTTCTAGGGAGCTGGCAAGGAGTTGCAATACTTCTCTTCCAACTCTACAATTCTAAGATTCTATTAAAACTGCCCTAGGGCAGAGGGGAACCTCAAGGAACCTAAGGCAAGCCATCTTATGCAGAGTGAGACCCTTGGTCCATTGAGCTCAGTCTGGTCTGCACTGCAGCGGGAACTCGGCAGCGTTCCTGCCCAGCCCTGCTTGGCAATGCCATTTGAACCTCCCACATGCAAAGGGGGTGATCTGCCCCTGGGATATGGACCTTCCTCTAAAAATAAGATTCCAGCCCTCATGGCTCTGAATCAGAAATATAGGAAGCACCTTAACAGAGTCAGAGTATTGGCCATCTAGTTTGGTATTATCTGCACAGGACCTCTCTGGGGCCTCCAGCCCTTCCTGAAGTTGCTAGAGATGGTGAGGAAGGTTGCATGCTATGAGACCTATCACTTAATAATAATAATAATAATAATAATAGTAAATTTATTTATATCCTGCCCTCCCCAGCCAAAGCCGGGTTCAGAGCGGCTAACAACAGTAAAAATAGCACAGTTTACTTAAAATCAGTGTCAATTAATTGAAATACATTCTAAAATCAATTCATTCTAAAATCAATTCAGAATCAAATCAATGGCAACCATTGGGCTAGAGTTCTATGAGGATTACAGAAGGAGGGGGGCAGACTGTGCCTTGGTGGAACAGCTCTGTCTTGTAGGCCCTGCGGAAAGATGTCAAGTCCCGCAGTGCCCTAGTCTCTTGTGACAGAGCGTTCCACCAGATCGGAGCCACAGCCGAAAAAGCCCTGGCTCTGGTTGAGGCCAGCCTAACCTCTCTGTGGCCCGGGATCTCCAAGATGTTTTTCTTGGAAGACCGTAAGGTCCTCCGTGGGACATACCAGGAGAGGCGGTCCCATAGGTACGAGGGTCCTAGGCTATATAGGGCTTTAAAGGTTAAAACCAGCACCTTAAATCTGACCCTGTACTCCACCAGGAACCAGTGCAGCTGGTATAGCACCGAGTTAATGTGATCCCACAGCAAGCACCCCGTAAGGAGTCTCGCCGTGGCATTCTGCACCTGCTGGAGTTTCTGGGTCAGTCTCAAGGGCAGCCCCAGGTAGAGTCAGTTAATGCACGCCAAGGTGTGTGTTTCAGCCTGAGCAAGGTCTCAGTGACTCCGGGCTCACGCCAGCCTGTAGTCACATTGTCCCCCAATCTTAAGAAGAGCCCTGAAGCTGTGCAAAAAGTTATTTGGAGCGGTGCGATGGGGCAAACGACTTTTTAGAAGCGATAACTCAACAGGTTTAGGAAGAGAGCGAGAGCAAGGGAGCTTGGTGTGTTCGTTAGCCCCGTGCTCTTTCGCACCTCTGCACCACAGCAAACATGTTTATGGCTGCAAACTTGAGCGAGTCATGGAAGAAGAAAAAGCGAGCAGCATTTTGCTCGCCCCCACATCGAAACCCGCGCAGGCAGAGTCAGAGCCAAGGTTGTACTGGGGGTGCTGGGTTCAGATTCCCCAGTCAGCTGTGGAATTTGCTGGAGAGTGGTCTTAGGCGAATCGGTCTAGCCTCACAAGGCTGTCAGGAGGATAAAAACCAGCCACAGGGAGGGACAGTGGACCATAAATGCCATAAAATAAATAGCTGTGCAGTCTGGGATTGAAGGCTGGCTTTTCTAAACCGAAAGGAGCAGCGGATCTGAACTATCTGAGCTCTGAATCACAACACCTCGGTGGGTTCAGCAAACAACAGGAAACCCTCAATCAAGCATTTTTCTTTCTTGACAAGGTCAGAAACTCCCTGAAATTGACTGGCGGAGGAGATTCAGGATGATTAAAAGGGAGGGTCTTCCCCATGCAACCGCACTTTTTGACTTGTGGAACTCACAACCACAAGATGTGATGGCGGAAGATGGCCGCTGGTTTTAAAGTGGGGGATTAGATAAATGGAAGGGAGGGTGGAATGGATTTGAAGCCATGCTCCTGTTGGCTGTTTTCCTGCAGGTGCAAATATGACACACACACACCCTCCAGCCTCCAGCCCCCCGCCGGCCTCATCCCCTCCAATGCTATATTGGCACAATGCATCTCCCCAGGACAAAAGCACTCACCAAGCTGGGTTTAATGCCAACGCTTTCGGCAGCCTGGAATGCCAAAAGGAGATTTCTTTTCTGTGGGGAGGGGGAGAGAGAGACAACAAATAGGTCAGGATAGAAGGGCTGTTTTCTCTGACATTAGCCTGCCCCCCCTCCATTTGCCACGGGTACAGCTGTGGATGGGGAGGACACAGATTCTGTTTGCCTTTGAATGGGAAAGCTCCCCGATCGGTGCTTCCTGAAGCAATAAGCCAACCAAAACACTGTGATTCTTTGAAACTTGCACTGCTCCGAATTTTGCAATGCAGTTTTCCAACCCCACAATGTGTGTTAATAGGGGGAAATTTTGCAAAATAAATTGCATTTTTTTTTAAGGTGAGAAACAGAGGGCTTAGGCGAGGTGCAAATGGCAAAGACCTCGCCAGGAAACACAACCCACAACTGAAAGAAAACAGGCACTCCTTGATTCAAACCCACAAAAGGAAGTGAATTCACGTATACATCAATCAGGTGAGAAGTAAGTTTCAGATTCTGCTTCTTCCTGGAAGACTTTATTATTGTAGCTACAGCAGAAAGGCACCCAGATGGCCCTCCAGATACTGTTGGACTATTGTTATTAATTAAATTTCTTAGTTGCTCCCCCCCCCATGCAACTGAAAGCAGCTTACAGCAAAAAATAACATATATTAAAAACCAGGAAAAACCCCAAAACACACTCACAAAATCTAAAACATGTTTTTAAAAGGCAGGATCAACATTTTATTATTTACAACTGTTATTAAAAGGTCATTAGTTGGAACTACTTATAAATAACCAAACATTAACCTTATCATGTATTTTTATTTTATTTTTAAAAAACTCGGGCCTGATTATATTTGGAAACTCCATGGCAATTGATGTCAGGCTCCGCCTCCACTGTCCTCTTTTTGGGGTCTGCCAAAATGTTTTCGTTTAGACAAGCCTGTCCAGAGGTTTAGAAAGCTGATGCAAGTTTAGTCTATTGTTATTTTAACTTTCTGAGAGTCTTAAATCATGGCTGCTACATTTCTGCTAGTGTTAAATTTTATTGCTTTGGTTCCCCCCCCTTTTTTTCTTTACAACCAAGCAGCATATAATACATTTTATGAAATGACTAAATAATAAATAAGGTCACTAGGTCAGGAATGGGGTGTGTGTGTGTGTGTGTGTGTGTGTGTGTTTTACCCTGCAATTCCATTCCACGTCACTAGGGGAAAGGTTTCTCCCCAACCCACCAAATCGCCCACCATCTGAAGGATGCTGGAGACAGAGGGGCCTCACCTTGTCCTGGCTGTTGAGCTCCTGGTAGGGAATGTGGGCAGGCAGGTAGGTGTGCAGGAGGGCGCAGAAGGCCAGGCCGTCGCTCCAGCTGCTGCTGAAGTTGGTGATGTCGATATTCTGCGGGAGGAAAAGAGAATCATAGAATCAATCATAGAATCTTAGAATCATAGAATCATAGAGTTGGAAGAGACCACAAGGGCCATCGAGTCCAACCCCCTGCCAAGCAGGAAACACCATCAGAGCACTCCTGACATATGGTTGTCAAGCCTCTGCTTAAAGACCTCCAAAGAAGGAGACTCCACCACACTCCTTGGCAGCAAATTCCACTGTCGAACAGCTCTTACTTTCAGGAAGTTCTTCCTAATGTTTAGGTGGAATCTTCTTTCTTGTAGTTTGGATCCATTGCTCCGTGTCCGCTTCTCTGGAGCAGCAGAAAACAACCTTTCTCCCTCCTCTATGTGACATCCTTTTATATATTTGAAGGGACGGTGAGCTCAGCGGGAGAGGAAACCCAGAAGACAAAAGTCAGAGACTGATGTGCACTATGATGAGTGAAATAAGTATTTGATCCCTTTGCGAAAGATGACTTAGTACTTGGTGGCAAAACCCTTGTTGGCAACTACAAAGGTCATATGTTTCTGGGGGTTTTCCTGTTTTTATTCTGTCTCTCACAGCTACAATAAACCTACCATTAAAATTATAGACTGGTCATTTCTTCGTCAGGGGGCAAATGGGCAAATTTAGCAGGGGATCAAACCCCCCCCCCCTCAGTGTGTAAGTCAGCTTCCTTCATTCCTATTCAGCACCATGAGGACTGGAACCTTGCTGCAGATTAGACAAATTCATGGATGAGAAGACCACCGACAGCTAGCAGCCACGATGGCTATGCTTGGCCTCCAGAATCGGAGGTAGCAATGCTTCTGGGAGCCACAGGGGAGGAAGGTGCTTGGATGCTGCTTGCAGGTTTCCCACTGGGGCTAGGATGCTAGCCTAGATGGGTCCCCTTTGACCCTGATCCAGCAGGCTCTCCTTGCTGCCTCGCAAGATCAACCAGTGTGCCAAGGCTGGACAAACAAGCAATCAACTCCCTATCAGTGGCAATAATGCAAAACAAAAGGCCTTTGGGAAGCAGGTTGGCAGGGCAAGATCAATGCTGCCCCACTGCCTGTGAAATTAACATTTTGGCAGGAGGTCCTGCGGGAGGCAAAGATCTGGGGGCGTTGGGGGAGAAGAGAAACTGTTTGTCCCAATTCTTAATTACCTCCACCTCCCGGCATTGTGTTAATTATGTTAAGGAGCTCTGCTAAGATTGGATTAATTCACTTTGCTGCTTTTCAAGAGGAGGAGGGGAGCAAAGCGGAATATTTCTGCCCATTAACCGCTAGCTTCTTGGGTTTCAATAATGCCTCTCCAGACATTCTGCACCAGGGTGGAAAAAACAAACCACCCTATGCTTGTCTTGTGATGGGGCTGATCCGTGGGGCTGGTGTGGTCAGTGGAGCAGGAGCAGTCAAAGCCACTATACTGCCCTTCGTATGTAATAATAATAATAATAGCAATATTAATAATAATAATAATCTTAGATAATTTATTACGGTCGGAGACCAGCTTATAAAACACACTTGGGGATACAATCCCAGAAGGATAACAAACATTTAAAACATGTACAACAATAAATTTAAAATTTATAAATGCAATAAGCGTATAGACACTTAAAACTTTTAAGATAATCTACTGCAGAGAGATGACTCAGAGTCACCCACACAACTGAGTTTGGGGGTTTTCTTAAACTAGTTTTTGCCTTCCCTGGAAATTTTGTTGTGGTGGGGCAGGAACTGTGGCTCCTTGCTGGTATTTACAGGTGAACTGCTTATTGGTCATTCGCCCGGATTTGTTTGCAATTCAATTCAATCCCAAGAAGCTCAAGCAGGGAGGGGGGTTTACATGCTTCTCCCCCCCCCCTCCATTTTATCATCACAACAACCCTGTGAGGTAGGTTAGGTTAGGCTGAGTACGAGAAAGTGACTGGCCCAGGGACGCCCAGTGTGGGCTTCCTACCCAAGCAGCGATTCGAACCCTGGTCTCCCTGACGCTACACCACAAAGGCCTTCTTTGTGGCGAGGATAATGCCTCCCCTGAGCTCCTGGGAGAGAGGCAAACACTGAACAAAACAGAGCCCGACTTCCTCGCAAAGGGCTGAGACCTGCTGAGATGTTATCCTCCCTGGTTGCTGTGACCTTGCCAGTGTGAAAGGCAAACTTCAGAGCAGGTGGGAGAGTCAGTTGGCCAAGCAGGAAGTCAGCCAAGAAAAGAGCTATCCTGACTTTGCTTAGCCAAACCGGGGAGGCGAGTTCTCCCCTTCCGCCTGGACGGAGGGCCACGCGCAGATCCCACATCCTGCAGATCCTGCTTGCGACAGGGATTGGGAGGGAGGGACAGGGTGGAAGCAGCGATGGGGAGGGCGAGCAGCACCTTGCCCATGTCATCCTTGACCTTGGCTGCAGAAGACAAAACCAGGGGAACTTAGATAGGAGGACACTAGGGAATTAGATGGACACGGGTGGTGCTGTGGGTTAAACCACTGAGCCTAGGGCTTGCTGATCAGAAGGTCAGCGGTTCGAATCCCTGCGACGGGATGAGCTCCCGTTGCTTGGTCCCTGCTCCTGCCAACCTAGCAGTTCGAAAGCGCCTCAAAGTGCAAGTAGATAAATAGGTACCGCTCCGGCGGGAAGGTAAACAGCGTTTCCGTGCGCTGCTCTGGTTCACCAGAAGCGGCTTAGTCATGCTGGCCACATGACCCGGAAGCTGTACGCCGGCTCCCTTGGCCAATAAAGGGAGATGAGCGCCGCAACCCCAGAGTTGTCCGCGACTGGACCTAATGGTCAGGGGTCCCTTAGGGAATTAGAAGAGCCTGCAGGATCAGGCTAATGGCCCATCTTAGTCCAGGATTCTGTTCTCATGCTTGTGTCCATCCATTTCTGTGGGTCTATTCCAAGTTGAATTTAGAACATGAGAAGCGTTTGATGGACTGGGCCAAAGGACCTCCACCTTGCCCAGCATCCTGTGGCCGACCAGGTGTCCTTAATGGCAAGCCCACAAGCAGGATCCGAGAATAACAGCAACGCTCCCCTCCTGTGGTTTCTAGCCACTGGCATTCAGAAGCATTGCTGCCTCCGACTGTGGAAGCAGGGCAGGGTCAGCCTGGCTAGGACCCATCCATAGCCCTCTTTTCCTCCATGGACTGGTCCTCTTTTAAAGCCACCCAGGTTAGTGGCCATCCCTGCTTCTTCCTCCTCCTCCTCCGGCAGGGAGTTCCGTAGTTCGATTATGTGCTGCACGAAGAAGGGACTTTTCTCTGTCCTAAACCTTCCAACGTTCAGACGAGGGAGGGAGGGTGGCATCATTCCCATGCGGATCTGGCCACCTCGCCTCAAAAAAAACCCCAAGATGCTGCAGAGCTGGGGAAAAGGTCCAGAAAAGAGCCACCAAAATGATGGAGTGACTTCATAGTGAGGCAAGGTTCCTCCAGTACAGGGGAACGGAGGTGGGAATGAATGGAGGCAAAGTTGGCGTTGAAGAGAAAACACGGTGGATACTGGCCAAAAACAATTCGGGAACCCCCCCCCCCTGGATTTCTCGTGCAAAAAAGAAATGAATGATCTTGAGACTTAAAAGAAAGACTGCTTAACGGAACATGGCGAAGATGGGTGTTATTATGGACTGAATGTCTTAAATGTATTTTTTCTTTTTTTAGGTAACCCGCAAATGGAAAATTGGAAGCCCTTTTTATCTTTCTTTATTATCTCTTTTCTTTTCTTTCCCCTCTTCTCTCCTTTTCCTTTTTTCTTCCTTTTTCTTTTTCTCTCTTTGTTTTCTTCGGCTCTGCTCTTCCTCCTCAGCTGAATGCAACAGAGGGGAGAGGGCTCCTGATCTGGGGTCCTGTTTGCAGATTTCCCTTTGGGGCAACTGTTCGGCCACTATGAGAGCAGGAGGCTGGTTTAGATGGACCTGATCCAGCAAAATCATCTTATGTTCTTGATGGGACACTGCTCTGTTGGCCCTAATGGACTAGCCCCTCTGTGCTGAATTTGCTGGAAAGTCACTGCATGTCACCCCAAAATAAGGATATTCTGGATTCTCCAAAACAACTGCCCAGCTCCATGCAATCTGCCCTGCTAGCTAGTTCCAGGAAAAGAGGGAAAGGAAACCTCTCTCCACTTCAAGATGAGACACAATCCTTTTCCCTCTGCACTTCCCAGACGCTGAAGGGCATTGCTTACCAAGGGCTGGGGAGAGAAATTGCCAGCTATCAAGGGACCATGTCAGTTCTTTTTATTTTCCCCCTCAGGAAAGCCCCCAGCCACCCATTAGCAACTGCCCAGTCACAGTATTTCGAGGCAGCCAAAGCAGGGATGTGATTCACTATTTCTTAAAGTGCTTAACATAACACAGGCTTGCACAAATATTTGAAAAGTCAATAGGGCCGAGACTGCGGGCTTATAATTGAAATAATAAAACAACAAAGAAGAATTGGAGAGGGAAAGAGAGAGAGAGAGAAGATGGAGGAGGAAGTAGAAATTGTAATCCAAGATGAAGCAAATGGAGATACTTAAATGAGATTTAATTTGTTTTATATCGCCAAAATTCTTGCAGAAGTATGTTCTTAATTAATGTTCTCAGGCCCTCCCTGCCTCTTACAGTGCAAATCCTCTGCAAGTTTACTCAGAACACCAATCCCAATGGGACTTACTCCCAGGTAAGTGACTGTACATCTGCGGCTTTATACGTTTAGTTTACAAATAATTTTCATCAATGTTACTATTATTATTATAATTATTGCTACACACAACACACCAGTTTTAATCTCCTAGTTTCCACAAGAATTTTATTTTTCAACCTCATTAAAATCAGCCTTGGATATTTTATGGTAAGGCAGGATCAGGCCAATGGCCCCTCTAGTCCAGCATCCTGTTCTCACAGGGGCCAACAAGATGCCCCAAAGGGAAACCAGGAAGGGAAGTTGCATGTTTGGAGCACATGGTACCATATTTTCCCGTCTATAAGACGCCCCCATGTATAAGACGCCCCCTATTTTGGGGACTCCGATTTAAGAAAAT